AACCCGGTGTAAAGTCTCCGGGGAGGTAATTAAATCTTTCACTGCGTCTTTTGAATTAAAAAATAATTTGTTTCCCCCAAAACTGTGGCTTTAATGTTTGGAGCTGTTAATGAAGACTTGTCCTTTGAATTAATCTGGGTGGATAGTGTTCTGTGCGTAATTTGGCAGAGACAAATGTTAACTGATGCGTTGATGACGAGCAGAAAGTGCTGCTGGCTACATGTGTTTCCAGCTGTTAAATAGACGCAGATATAAAATATAAAAACCCTAACGTTCGTGTGCTGATTTGTTTGAATGATATTTCCCATTAAAATCCACAGTTGGCCGTGGCGCACAGAAAGGATTGGCGCGTAAAGCCACATAAGTACTTGCGTAAAGGCTTACGCATACGCGCGGGCACACACGCGCGCACGGACGCAGTTAAGACTATGGCATAAATCCCTCAGATGATTGAATCGCATACTTGTGGCCGTGGAACGCAATTAAATCAATAACTTCCACTGAAGTCGTGTTGGTGAATAAAGAACTGCTGAGAAGAACAAGTGAGGGAATAAACATCTGACCGTCACCCACCTGAAGAACCGTCTTCATGGTGACCAGGGAGACGACCGCCGTGCATATCTTCTCTCCGTTACGCATCTCCTGACCCATGATGAAGAGCATCGGCGTGGCCAGCGCGAAGGACGCGAGCCACATGGCGCTGATCAGCTTCTTGGTGCGACTCCGGGACATGATGCTCTTCGCCTTGAACGGGTGACAGATGGCCATGTAGCGCTCCACCGTCAGGCTGGCGATGTTGAGCGCGGTGGCGTACGAGCAGCTGTCCCGCAGGAAGTAGTAGCCCCTGCACACCGCGTCCCCGAACACCCACGGGTGGTGGAACCAGATGAAGTTGTAGAGCTCGATGGGCATGGAGAGGACCAGGATGAGCAGGTCAGACACGGCGAGGCTGGCCAGGTGGTAGTGCACGGTGCTCTGCAGGTTCTGTAAGGTCTTCTTGGTCAGCAGAGTGTACAGAGTGATGGAGTTGCCCAGGCAGCCCACCGCGAACAGGGCCACGTAGATGACAGTGACGACCACCTTGGAGTAAATGTCCGTGTTCACCTCCAAGTCCTCCTCCTCCTCTTCGGTTTTGGAAGCGGCGGTCATGTTGTCAAACGGAGCCAAAGATTGATTCCCAAAAAGTCTCCGTGCCAGTGCGCTCCAGCCGACGAAGTCGCGCTCCGACAGAGTGACATTGAAATCCATTTCTTGTTTTGCTCTTCGATGCGTTAAAGCGTAGGCTCGCTGTGTTTTGGGTGAAGACGAAGCATTTGCTGGGTGTTACTTCGGCACGGAGCGGAGTTAAACTGAACCAGAGACTCCAAATCAGAGAGAGTGCCTTTAATACTTGGCGCAACAGGAGGCGTGCACGCCATTGGCGCTGCCGCGTTGACGCACGACGGTTCAGTGAGTGGAGGCTTCAATATAGTCCCCTCCGCCTTTCACCTTGGAAACCGACAGCAGGGCAAATGACCTGTAGATGGACGTGTGTCTTATGGCCTCATACGTTTATTCATGCATATAAGATAAAGTATATGTTATTTTATGACATAAGATATTACATCATTATTCTCTGCTTTTCTCTCTGTTTTTTGTCAGGTTTCCCTCCACAGGTAGTGTTCCGAGCCCAGGCTACAGATGAGCAGTGAGATGAAACACGATGTCGTGTTCAAGGATGCGGTGTTCCAGTCTCTCCGTGTGTGTTATGACTGGACAGTCAGAGGAAATGTCACTCTAATGGTTACTGCGCAACAGCTGCTACTGTGAGGGGACCACTATCTGATACACACACACAGACCTGTGGTCCACTTATAGAAGTTTATTTTGGTTTGGTTCTCTGTATTGCCACTGTATTTTTTATAGTGAGATGACTTACAGCTGTTTTACTTGTGGTAATATTAAGTCACAAAATTTACAACTTTTGCTTGTCCTATCTTCTAGGAGCAGAAAAAAAGTCAACATTTGGATTTTAACTTTTGCCACAGAATTTGGACCAAGGATCGATTAAGGCTCTGTGTTAGAAATCTACAAATGTTTGAAAATGGTCAACTTTTGGATTCTAACTTTTACCAAGGATCGATTAAGGCTCTGAGTTAGAAATCTACAAATGTTTGAAAATGATCAAAAAAGTGGTTCCGTCAAACATATCCCAAATATTCCAATATTCAAATACATGGGAAAGAAACTTGTCATCAATAACAATAAACGGTTGGGTCATTGTGTGAGTGTGCTCTCGCTCTCTTTTCTGTACCTTTCCCCACAGGTGACTTCAGTGATATTATGGGCTCTATCTTATCGCAGTAGAAGCCTCAAAGTGTAATTCTGAGGGATCTGAATATCAGACAGATATTTTTTCATGGCTGCACAGACTGAGCTGTAATCAAAGTGGGATTAAACCACTGCTGCCAACAAAGGGATGTTAGGAAATATAATTTGCAGACACGCGCTCAACTGTTTTACGTGTGAAGACCTGAAATAAATCTTTGTTGACAGGGAGTTGTCTCATAAACATGTTTTAGTGATTTCTGTTGTGAAACGCTTTATCATCATTTATCAAAAAAGCTGTTTTAGAAAAAAACAACCCTAAAACTAAAACAAACAAAGACAAACAAAACATTAAAAATGTTACAGTGACTAATGATACTGTATATCAGAAGTAACTGAGTCACAAATCAGCCTAAGTTGTACTTTGTAGGTGGTTTCAGGTGAATATGGTAGATTTTTCTTCAGACAAAGGTTCATCATAATAAGTACATACTTACAATATATATAATTCCCCATCACTATTTTCAGGTTATAAAAACCTTCTAGCCAAAATAAAGGAACTTATAATGTTTAGTTGAACACAACCCAAATGGACTCTAAGGAATTGAAGAAAGATACTCAGAGATCTTCTACAGCTCTCCTTTTTTATTTTTTTCCCCGAGAAGCTCAGCTCACCTATGTAGTTTGTAGAAAATCTAAATTTTCACCAGGACCCAGTTTGGATCGCATACTTGGTATTTTCAGATTTTTTATCAACAGCTAGCACTTCTGTCACAGCTAACTAATTACTAAGCCACTTATTCTGCTGTTTTAATGAAAACACGTATATGCACTGATAAACTAGCCATCTGCTGCCACCTACTGGAAACGTATTCAATTGTTTTCCCTGTCACTGTTGCATATACGAATTAAGACAAACGCACTGCATTAAACAAATAATAGTTTTTTGACAATTTAATAAAATTGGACAATTTCCCACAGTACACCTGATGATCTTCACAAATGAGCCACAGACACTAATTAATGATTACAATGTCGCAGAATCATTTTTATGGCCCTACTATATCAAGTTACGTGTCAGTTTGTGCAATTTGTTAAGTTAAATCTTAATTTTTACAAAGAGTTTTTTTTAAACCAGCAAATATGTGGTCATGTTCAATGTCCAACTTAGTTTTGTCCATATGGCGGTGGGTCTTTTAATAATGCTTTTCTGCTGAAGCTTCCTCCACATATGAACAACCTGCTGCTGAGACTGTGCACATTGGAAGGAAGTTCCCTGCCCCACAGTAGGAATTCTGTCTCTCCATGGGTTCAGCATGTTCTCTCGATGAGCTGTCAGGGGAATAACAACACATTGCATGACACCAACTGTCACGGGTTGGCCCATTTCCAGACTGAGTGAAATAAAAGTACAGCACAAAGTTAATCTCAGCACTACCTCACATATCCCACTTCCTGTGGGACAGGAAGTCTGTTTTTAAAGTAATGCTTTGCCTTTTTATCTATTTAATGAGCCCTCTAGTAGAGCCACAGTGTTGTACGTTGGGGGTGGAAATAAAGAAAACAAACAGATTTTCCAGTTAATGATTAAATTGGATTATTAGACAAACTGTACGCTGAACCTCTGACCCTCTAATATTTTAAAGCTGGTTTCACGTGAAAGCTGTGCAACCAAGTAACTTCAGTTTCTATCCAATATAACCATTCTTTATAATCTGATACCAATGACACTTCAATATGTTCATGTATTTAATAATATACCAAAAAATAACTTTTCCTCTTCACTTGGGGAAGTTATGTAACATGCTCAAATGGCTCATTTGTCCTCCCAGACTAAAGAACCTCCATTCATCAGACAGATGAGGACCTCCGCAGCACTTACACGTAAACCATGAAGCTAAGAATAGAAATTCCTGCTTGTGGTTTTTACCTGACAGCAGCATTGGAAGATAAATTGCCTTTTAGCGGTGACGCTGAAGATCTGCTTCTGTATCTGATCTGAAATTCCTAGTTTGTACTCATTTCCTTTGCGGCCTAAAGCGAACACAGGAGACCTTGAACGTAACCTCCTGCATTTATGTATATGTTCCAGTAACGGGAACATGCACGGAGGATGCAATTACTGGCAAAACAAGTTAAACACAAATCTCCTGTTGTGGGGTCTGCTCTTTTAGATAAATTACTTGACATTGTTGTGTATTTTGGGACTACGTGCTGGCAGGGGTAACGCTGAGTCTAATGTAATCATTTTTCCCACAATCCATACACCTTTCCCTGGAATTCAAGGAGTTGTTTTTGAAGCCGTTGACTTTCTGATTTTATGATGGTGATTTTATTTTCTTAAAATAAACTTTTTAAACCAATATTAACGTTTTGTCGATATCCCATATGCCGATATCGTCACCTAATTTCCGATACCAATATTAACCAATTATACTTACATAGCGGAGCAAAGGTGCTGGGTTTAACCTAACCTGGGTTTTCAATATCGGTGGGAAAACCGATTCTTACGTATGTTACATAATTTTGCTAATATTGGCCGATATTATCGGTCGACCGATATTATTGGACATCCCTAATATATGTACATATATTTGTGGCCCATAGAAACTGGAAATACCATTTTGATGCACAGTAAGCTTTTCCCTTCTGATGGGTTTAGTTTTCACCTGGGATCAGTTGTGCAGGCCTCCCAACTAAATCCATAAAGATGCAGGACAATAGGAAGAAACATCCCAGAAAATAAAACCATGGGGAGCAAGGGAAAATAGCAGACAAAACGAGAAAGACTGTTTAGTTTTGGAGAAATGGTGTTGGAAATAAACCACTTTCCATCCATCCATCTATTTTCATCTGCTTATCCGTTACCAGGTGGCGGGGGCAGCAGTCTCCATGACCACCACCCAAATCACACTGCACCGTACCAACCCCTCTGAACCTTCCTGCCATAATAAAGGGCAAAAAGAAAGTGAATGTAGCACAATCCAATGTACAGTGCAGCAGTAATGTAAACAAAGCTGTCTTCTGCATATAGGGTCATGTGATGGCGTAACTGTCCGCCTCGCTCTCTTTTAAATATCAATTAAAAAAGCTGCAGATAAAAGAGATAAAAATCTGGTCAAATTAACATGTTCTGCTTTATTCATTTCTACCATTTGGTTGATTGCAGTGTGATTTTTCTATTCAATGATTTGAACCAAATGGAAAAACGTTCTGCTTTAATTAGCAGATTAATGATTCAATTAATCTGATTCAATGATTTGAACCAAATGGAAAAACATTTGAGCCGTGATTACTCAGGTTATTGAGTTAGTCATGGCTGCAGCCTGTTCTAGATCTAACTTGTAGAGGAGAAAAAGTTCTGCACAGTATAATCAGTCATTTTTTTCCGAGGCATCAACGACTGCTTGCATCTTCAGCTGAGGGAGGAACTGTTCAGTACTGTTCTGAGTTTTCTGTCAGTTGATGAAGATGAACTCTAAAAAGCTTCAACTGTCTGTCCACTTGGTTTTACATTGTAGAGTACTTTTGACTTAACTTAGAACAGTTCCTTCATTCTCCTTCTTATGTGTTCATAATACAACTTGTTAAACGTTTGTTCAGGGATGTCCGATGATATCCACCGACCGATATCATTGGCCCGATATTAGCATAATTATGTAATATATGGAAGATTTCTTTATCAATTTTCTTTATCAATTTTACCTCCAATAATGCAAACCCGATAATGCAATACCTGGGTTTCCGAAATGTTCTGGAAATGTTTGTAGGGTACTGACACGTTTACCTCAGTTTTGGGGGAAAACGGCTGCATATATCGGTATTGGTTGATATCTGACTCAGAAAACGAAGTGTTTGGAAAATATCGACATATCGGATATTAGCAAAAAGTTCAGATCAGACATCCTTACTTTTGTTCTTCAAACTTTGTTGAATCCATTTAATGTAGTTAGTATTCTTGAAAATGTAAAGCTGTTATATATAGTTATACAATTTTAATAAAGTTTTCTTTTTTTACATATTTTGGCGCAGACAAAATGAAGTGGTCACAGGAATTTGAAAATATTTGAAGGAAAAGGACACAATGACGCCAGATAGCCTTGGGTTGGGACAGATTTTTTTTTCTATTACAGAATTGTCCATTTAGTTGTAGTTTAAAACTCATTTTGTGTTGTTTTTGTTAATAGTAGTTTTCATTTTGCTCTCCTCAGACAGAGGTTTTTAATTTATTTTGCAAACCTTGAGCAGTGTGTTGATTCTAAACAACAATCCTCTTCACTTCAGAATGAATTTCGTGCTTTAAAGTCTGTTCACCTTGTTACTCTGGCTACTAAGGGTTACTAAACATGATGAAAAGGTTTGAAAGTGAAGGAGAGGAGTTTTACTGTTGAAAGACTGTGACTACAAAAAATTTAGGGAATGTTGGAAAGAAGACAGGAATAAGATCAGGTAATTACTAAAATATTTGAAATTAAACATGCACTAAGGTTTTTAAAAAAACAAAACAAAAAACAAACAAACAACATATTGTTATTGACAGTCTCAGGCTAAAAACTCCCGTATGGCAGTGTAGTAATGGTTTCCTTTAAATCCACGTTGTGCTTGTGTGAACCTGTGCATTGTGTTGACAGAGGAA